TTTAATGGCTGAAGTTTCCCCTCCTCAACCAGAAGGCACACTCCCTTTCATTTCTGTTCCTTCATTTATCCAATTGCTGTAAATCATATACATCCCCCTTTGTCTAAAGGAAGTGGATCTGCAAGTAACCAATATTTACCAATTGTCTTTCTTAGTTCATTCAGGATTGAGTCCATATTTAATACATCAAATATTCTACTATTTAATAGTGGAAATTAATAGTCATACACTTCTATTCGCAATCCATACTTTATCACTGCAAAATCCATATAATTTTCCATTTCTGTTCCCCAAATTATTAAATCTACAGTGCTCACTATGGGCTGCCTATACATCCACTCTGAGTTCCTTCTGGTAGCTTGCATGTTGTTGGGGAAAGCATGGTCTGCACCACAATTTGACCCTTCATGGCCATGCACTCCCTGTGTCCCCTGATCCCTAGCAGAGATGGATGTTCTCACTCACATGGTGTGACAGCTGCTTCTGGCAGTGACAGTTTTTGATCTGTCTGCCACCACCCACAATTTCTCCCATCCTTTTGCCTCTGGGCTGCAGAAGGGAACTGTAGTAGTTAGGCTGGTTAGTAGAAGCATCTAAGTCTCAGTGCAAAGCAGGGGGATAGTTAGGGTGTGTGTTTTCCAGGTAACTTGGTATATTCACACCAATGGGGTCTGGACTGTACCAACAATCTCCACTTCACTGCCAAGGGCTGAGGTTCTCTGGTCTAAATTCTGCACTGACAAACCCAATCACACCTTGTTCTTCCTGCAATGCTCTTTTCAAAGACAAAGCGACTCCTCAAACAAGCTGAATGATGCAATCCACAATTTTGCCTCTAACTACCACCCTGAAGCTACTTAAGTTTTTTTCCACTTCCCAACTAACTGCACAGCTGGAGTTTTTATTGTCTAGCCTTTTGTATGTCCTTCATCACACACTGTCTGGTCTCACTTCATCACAGATGCTGAACACAGGCTTTTTTGCAGCACACTCGACTCTGCACTACTTCTCTTCTGCTTCCACTCTGATTCCATTCCTGTTCCTTTAATAATTCAACCTCTGCTTTCAAATTCACCTTTTCATACCCTACAGAGACTAATTTTCCTTTTCCTAACTGTAATAGATTAAGTCAAATTGGTTACAGCTCACCTCAAGGCCCATATTGCAGCAACCTTAATGTTGCCTTAGATGTACTGCTCCCCCGACAGATTGCAAATGCTTTTTCAGCCTTCCTCAATGTATCTTCAGCCATGAAAGCTTCCTGCTTCCACACCAAAATATCTTTCAGATGACCTACATCCCTAAATTTTCCTCTGGATAGGAAGAAAGTCCTTCCCTCTTCTCCCTACCCAGGGAGAAGTCGGTCCCAGTGGAATACTGAGTGCCTTGAATGCCCAGTTACCAAACAAGTGCACCGTGCATTTGTTTTCACTCTCTGTTATTCTGATTTTCTGCTTCAGTGTCTGGCTTTCACTCCACAAAACCTGGTTCACCCACACTCTACAAATATGCAGTCCTCCCTCTGAGCTATTTTCATTCAGGCAACTTTTGTCAACTGCAAATAGACTCCACAAGCAGGATATTATGTCCCTGCCCATGGCAGAGGGGTGGACTAGATGACCTTTAAAGGTCCCTTCCAACTCAAAGTATTCTACGATTCTATAATGTATTCAACTTCAAAAAGATAACTCATGTGTTGGTTTAGATGCACAAAGCCAGTGAAACTTTAAAAGCTACAAAGCACAGTATATATACAACACTCAGTAAAACTCAGAGCATCTCTGAGTTGAACCAGCAGACGGTTCAACAGGGAATCTCTGCAGCTCCCCAAAATGGACCTTCAGGGCTCATGAGTTGCCACCTTCCAACTCTGTATTTACATTCAGGAATGTATACTTGTAGGTGGTTTTCCTCCTGAATCCTGGAGCTGCTGTCTCAAGACAGCAGACCTGGCTTTCTTATCCCACCTGGCTTTACTACAGATTTTTCTTCACAGCTCTCTCAACCTTTCTTTAGAAATCTGAAGCAAGGTACTCACATCTGTGCAGTGTGAGACCCAGGCCATGGGACATCACACCTAACCTCCTGTTGAGCAGTGCAGGTTCTATCCAGACTTCATCCAACCCTGTTGTGTGGAACAGGATTTGAGTGAAGCCTTAGCACCTCCCTGACCCTCACCCTGTGCTTCAGCAGAGCTCCCAGATGAACATGTGTACAGCTACTGTGTAATAAAGTCATCTGAGGGACAAAAAGAATATACTAAAACTGATCAGTACAATTCTGAAGGAACCACAGAAAAACACAGTTTTCCACAGGCTAATACAGAGGACTAATATGGGAGGACTGTTACAGAGAGAGTAAAAAAGAATATCGTTACACACTAAGGCCTCTATTTTCAATGCATAAATAAGCCCTACTTGACCAGCAAAGCAAAATGACAAGCAGTCTGTAGCAAAGTGTGCTCTACTTCATGGGCATACTCTGCTTCTTCCAAGCATGTTCTCCTAGTTGCCTAGAGAGGCACTTGTGCAGAGACATACTTGAGAGTTTTATTTGCAGCGACAGAAGTGCATTCAGAGATGGAAGTAACTCACAGGCTAAAGGCCTTTCCTCTCAGGGACACTGTGTTCCCTGCACAGCTACCATACTTGGCCATGTTTGCCTTTCCTCGTACCATAACATCTCACCCACGCTGAGACAGCTAAAAACCATTACACAAATAAGAGAAGGCACATGAGTGCACTTTATGGTACTTGTTTTATAAGATTACTCCCAAAAAACCCTTCCATTAGGAAAACATTAGTACTGCCAAGTCAAACATGTAGAACTGAGAAGAAGCCACAATTAAATTTTTCTGTGCAATCATAATCTACCCCCTCCTCATTCCTTGCTGTCGGGGCTGGCAAGCAGGCCATGATACTGCCTGCAGCAAGCTGACCAACACCCTCCTCACTCCAGCCAAGTGCAGGGCTCTGGTGACCTCCTGCATTTTCATATTGAGACTGACTTGTTACAGCAAATAAGGGACACACCTACACACAGGAGTCGGTTATGAATGAAACCAACATATGAATGAAACAGTAACCAGGAAAAAAAAATAAAAACCAAGGAATTGAAGATATTCCCATGTGACCACAAGGCACTTTCTCACAGACAGTGCAAGACTGTGCCTCGGCTGCTCTCAGAAACACAAACACATCGCTTTGGAACAGCATCAGTGTGATGTTCTGCACTCACGCCTCTCCCAGGAGGCTGTAAGAGTCTGAAATCTTCCTGTATTCAAGAACATGAAGAACTAAACTAAACCTTGCAATCTTCTCCCGAGCTCTGTCACCCCTTCCCGTTTTAGAGCAGCCTCTCCAAAGTGTATCGCAAGGAACAAAACATGATTCTTGTTTACTAGTGGATTAGAACTACTCATACACCTTATCTGTGTTTAAGGACTGCTATCTCTCCCAGGTTTTTTTTTTCTTCTTGACACAGCTTTCATTAAGTGGGCCACAGATACAGCACATCTGTTTTCTTGGTTACGTTCCCTTCCACTGTCTCAGATCAGTGGGATGGCACAGAACTCTGGAACTAAGTTACACTGAACACAGATTATCTGTAAATCACAAAACCTGGCCGGTAAATCAACACACAGAGCTCTGCCAGAGGCTCACTTACCACAGCTAAACAGGAAGTCTGACAAAGCAAAAACCAGAGCTGTTTTACCTTTCCCCACGACTATAAGAAGAAAATCCTCCCTTGGCTGTCCACAGAAGCTCACACTGATCAGATTGGGTGAACAACTCCCCCCATGGCAGCTGTGCAGTTACAGACACCCCAACTGAGAAGGGCTCATTCCTCCTTCTACATCACAGCAAGGCAGTGCATGAGCCACAGCTCAGATCCAGAAACAAGGAGAACAAACATCTTTCCATGGAAGCAATCCAAAATGCAGTGGAGATAAGCACTTCCTATCAGTGTTTTCCTTAGATCCCCCAGCTGCCAACGCTTTTGAGCAGACCTGCACTCAGTTCCCATGGCCCAGCTGTACATCAGATGTGCAGAGCTCCAAACCTCATTTTCAGCTCATAATGAAACCAAATTCCATTTCCACAGCACTATCAGAATGCAGATGAGTTATGCATTTTGTGCTGAACAAAACCATTACATCTCAGCAGATCTATTGATGCACTGATAGGGCTCAAAAAGCCTCAGATCCTCTCGTTGCATTATCTTTAAGGTAATTAAACTACAAGGGGAAAAAAAAAGTATGATGTTCAAACAGCAAAAATATGAAGTCCACAAAAAGAATTTCACAGTTTAGATAGGAACACTATCCAGAAACCAGGGAATTAAGACCAGCTGACCTCAAGGTACTCACACTCCTAATCCTTCGTACCCACTAAGAATCAACATTCCTTTTGGATGCCAAATTGTGGTTAACATTCAAGCTTACATTTATTACTTTTGTGCCTGCTAAAGCAGATTAACCATTAAGGCAGAACTTTAACTCCTAATTTCTTTTCCTAAAGAGGTGCTCCCCCTGCCCTACTTCTTTACAAATAAAACATTTACCATACCAGAAAAAAAACATTTGAACAATTGGTTAATTGGTTAGTTCCCAACAGTAGCACTGCCAGTCACAGTCCAATTCTGCTAACAAACTTCATTAAATATCAGATTTATTCCTGGCCACTGAAACAGTTTTTATCACAACAATGCATTGTAAAGGCAAACAAAGGCACTTAGTGATTCTAATCCATACAAACAAACATTTTGACAGAAACAAAGAGGAAAAGAATGACTATAATGATGCCACTTCTTACAAAACTAGCACAGCATATTTCATCTGTGTGTTTGCTCATGTGTGTGTGTGTTAGGAAATGCTGTGTAAGTTTAGGCTGATAAATGAATTTATACATAAAATATCCTAGAAAATACAAACCAAGCATCAGCAACCAAAGACACAACTAAAACTCCAATAATCCTCAAGTGGAAGACAAAAACAAAACGTAAAGGAAATAAATTTTATTTGGTGTTACCTTATTATATAACCATTATATTTTACAGTTTTTTGGAAGCCACTCGTCCAACCAATAAGCAAAACACATCACAAACCACAGAGTCATCACTTTTTCTACAAAGAAAACTTTTTAATTCTCCTTCGGCTTGAACTAAAAGACTTCAGAACACTGCAAAACAGTTTCATGAAATGTTAGACAATTGTGCCTTTAACAGACTAACAGAACTACGAACAAAAGGGAAACATGGTCAAGTTCAATCTCAACTTTGTCCCTGAGTCTGACAGTTTACTGCTTTACCAATAAAGCAATTAACAGCTGTCACATTAAGGCTCACACAGATAAATAAGAAACCAGGAGACAGCTTCATGGGTCTCTACTTCCCGACTCTCCTTGCAGTTTCCTGCCACATAAAATATATTAAAAATAAAACATCCCACATCACAAAACCCAGTCAACCATTACTGAACTGCTTACAGATGATGTTCAAATGAGGAATGGGGCCTTAATTTGCAAATGAGCAATCATTAAGCCACCTTAAATGTCTTCCTGATTCGCATGAAATTGCACTCATTTGAGATGCAAGAGACACTTGTAAGCCCTTCCAATAGGAAATAAAACAAATTGCTTTAAAAATCTAACTTGTCTTTAAATGCATACAATGCATTTATGTTAAAAAAGATTTATGAGACTAGACAGCCCTTTGAACAGTGAGATCTCACATCACCCTACTTATGACACTGTAAGTAGCAGAAGTACTGTCAGTGTCCAGCTGGACTGTAGGACTAGACAAGGCAGCAGGAATTCAAGCTCATTTTGCATGAAAAGTTCTTCAATCTCCAAAGCACTTCAAGTGCAGGGCTATACAAAATATCTCATTCCAAGCAGTTATAAAAATTCACTGTACAGATTGAATTATTTCCACAGTAAGGTCCCAAAGACATACCCTAAAAAACAGTCCATAGGTTCAATTATCTTGTGTTTTTTGTACTATGAAGGAGTAAAGAAAAAGAAACTGAACAGTTTATAATAAAGCAGTTTCAACCCTCTTGCAATATATGGAGCTATACTTGAAAACAAACTCCACCTCTGACAGAAATGAGAAAAAAACCTGCCAGACCACTCAGAAGAGAAAAATTTAAAAGGCAAAGAACCACCAAACTCAATTAACAGGACAGAATAACGTAGAGTTTGTTTTATTTTGATGGATTTTATAACAGCTTTAGAAGAATCAGCAAAGTCTCTACCTACTCCCTTCCAGCCAGGCAACAGAGACACTGCCCTTAGCTGAGGACGTGCACCTTTCCCTCCCACTCTTACATTTTGGCTCCTCTGGGATCATTTTTCAATCACCAGATTGACACATTGAGTTTCTTTGGCAATGTTTTCCAAGTGGGAATTACCAGAGTTCAGAAACTATTCCTGATTAGCAAGCTGAAGGCCCTGATACCAGAAAGCCTTTCACCCTGGGCACTGTGGTCACCTGCATGAACTCCACAGTGCCATTACAGTGATTTATTTTTTTTAAGCAGAGGACCTGCAGAGTTGCTACATAATTAAACTAAAAGCTTTCACCTGTACATGTCTGAGCAGACATTTTTCACCGTTTGACACTTTTTGGGCCATCCAAACACTGCAAAGGGAACCCTGATCATTATAAACCTGCCCCTTGTACATTCTGAAGCTGCCAAATTCCGATCTTAGAGCAGCAATAAAATTCACCATTACTAAACCTAAACCAGCAGCCTAAAATCAAATTTTGCAACTGCTGAATGCCCAAATTTTCAACAATTCAAAAAAAAAAAAATCAACCTGAAGGTTAAGACTGAACAAGATGTGAGGAAAATGTTGCAAGGAAAAGTATTTTCTACCCAATAAAGAAAGCTTCAATGTGCATAAACCCTTGTAAAAAATCTTAATAAATATATTTAACATTCAGATTTTTTTACAGATAGAACAAAATAAATTTTATTGAGACATATGTGTTCATGCTGGCCTTTAAAATCTCAGACAAAACCAAAAAACAATGGAACGAAAGAAGAAAGTTTTACGATTAACCTTCTGGAACTTCAGCATTAGTGTGATTGTACTTAACACCTCCTACAAGACACTGCTCAAACCCTCCTTCTCCTTTCAGCTGAGGCTTCAGAGTATTTTTGACAAGTTAATCAATGCCCTCAGAAATGAGGGATATGCTGAGTGCAATAATCCCACAGAGCCAGCACGGACACACGCTGTGCATTCCACTAATTCACTTGTAAACGTCAGGACTTTCTGGTCCCTGCTTTACACTACAAAACACTGACAACTCAATCCCTCTGCACCACACTGTGTCCTGCTCCAGCAACACTCACATTGCTTTTGGTCCTTGTCCCAGTGTTTTCCTCAGCTTTTGTTTTGTTTAATGGGTTTTAGTGTGGTTTTTTTGGGTTTTGTTTTGGTCAGATCATTTTCTCACCAGTTAAGCAGCCCCTCTGTGCCAAATAAGGGCATTCTTAAGTACACCTTATGATATAAACCCCCTCATGCCTTCACACACACACTCCCCACTGGTAGGAACAGGAGCTCTCTACGTGAAGTCTGTCAGCCAGGTTATGTCAGAAGGTGCATCTTAGATCTTCATTCATTACCCACGAGGCTGTTTGAAGAAAAGCTTGGAAAATAATAGTGAATAAAGAGAAAATTACTCATCTCTCTTTCACCGTACTGACCAGTTCAGAAGACAAAATAATATTCAATCTTCTACATTGCCACTCCAATATCAGTGCTTCCAAACACGTGTGGAAACCTTTTTCCCATACAGATCTTATGGAAAAAAATACTTCTCTTTACTGCAAGCACATACAAGAACTGTTCTGCACAGGAGCATGTCATGTTCCTTTCTTCAAATACCGGGAGAGGAACTGGCTTCTCACAAAGTGGATCAGCTTGGTCTCTGTGCAGAACATCGTCACAACGGTTGCTGCAAAGCACAGAGAGCCCACACCGATGTGGATCAGCCTTGCCATCCACCCCTTATCACAGCAGAACACCACCTGCAACAAAGGAAACAAGCAATTGCAGGAAAACCAGTCAGCACAAAATAAATTTACTATCTCGGTAAAAAATAAGGCCCAACACCTCCCTTGATCATGCTACGCCACCGTCACGGTGAGTGTGGATTGGCCACATGCACTGACCCTACAGTAAAGTCACCTTTAGGAGGCACAAAACTTGCCTTCTCTTAAGAAAATTCTGTCAACAAAAAATAAACATTCAGTACATATCTGCTAAATGATAAAAAGTAAAAGCTCCTATTATCTGGCATAGAGAAAATCGTTAATTGAGATGACATGACAACTCTGTGGTTCTATCATGCAGTTCTGCTACTTTGCAGCACCATATTAGGCTATTTTCTAACAAAACTGGCAATCTCCCATGCCAAAATATAAAGCTCTCCCTTCTCAGGCATAATGGATTTTCAAGCTGTCAAAATCTGTACATTGAAAAGCTACCATCTCTGTAATATTTAGTCTATGCAATTACCATCTTGTAGTCTAAATAAATGTGCTCTAAGGGATTTTTGTTTCTGTTCTTGTTTTGGTTGTTTGTCACTTTTTTATTACAGAATTTTTAACAGGGTTTTTTTTGTGCTACTGCAAAAGTTCAGTTACTAATAACTAAGGACACATTTACCTACAGACAGCAGAAAAGTTTTAAAATTTATTTCACTTGTCAGACACACCTTGTACAGGTGGCAGAGATAACTTTGTATCAAAGATTAAATCTCTTAATATTATATCTTGCCTTGCTTGCAATGGAAACCTTCTGGCCTACCCTTTTTTCTTAACACTTTTCTCTGCCTGTGGACACATTTGACACTCATGTTCACAGTGAAAGGGAAGAGAAAGATGCTCACCTCTGAGAAACCAGTGATGACTCCACTGATGATATAAACCAGCACCAGAAAGGGAGAGGGAAGCAAACCTGTCAGAGGCCTGTAAGTGCTCTCCTTGAAGTAATCATAGATGTAGTGGATGCTGTGAGCGATTCGAATGCCCATGTTAAAGCAGTTGGCAAGGATAAAGCCTATACTGCCATGCCAGTGGGTCAGGAAATAAGAGATGCACAGAAATATGAAGGACAGGGCCAGCATAACAAAATTGTACCTGGGTAAAAAACAAACAAACAAAAAAAAGAAACAATTTAGCATTGCCTAAAGTTACTGCATTCCTTTACTGATGATCTTTTATTTTCTACAATAAGGAACAGAATTTCTCTTATCTTCTAGAGGAGAAGATAAATTTGAGATGTTAAAAGACATACCTGAAAGAACAAAAAATACATCAAACAAATTAAACCAAGAACTACATTATGTGAAGGAAATTCTATTTCACTAATCAGCTGTATACTCATTTCAGAAAGCAAAATTTAGTAACCATCATTAGTAATGTAAAAACCTGTGGATTTTTTTGCTACTTTATTTTAGGAATGTATTAAAGACACTAAATGCTCAACAACATAAAAATGGCACTTTATTTAGTTTTTGCTCCAAACAATGGCTTGGGAAACAAGTCCACATTTTAAAGGGATCATGAAAGCAGCCCTTGCAAAGTCAAAAAGATCCTACTTTGGTTGTGGAAAATAGACCTCACTGAAATTAATTTGGAAGGGCCACATCAGGGACAGCCTGAACACAGAATCAAGAAATAATCCCAGCTGGAAGGATCTCAGGAGGTCATCTAATCCAACCTCCTACAAAGTACATAAACCACTGAATTCACATCCACAATTTAGGTCACTCCTAAGTGTACATACAGTAACTGTACAGGAAAAGTTCTAATAGTTGCAAAGTTCTAATGAGTCAAATAATTCTTTTTAAAAGTATAGCTTCCAGCTCATCTGTACAGAAAACACACACTTAAATTACTTTTCCAGTTAGTGATTTACTGAAAGCTAATTTAACAACCTGCATTTCTTAATTTCTGACCTTTTTACCCAAACATTTTAACATTTGCCAAAGGTTCTACATCTAAATCTACATGCAGACAGCCTAACCAAGAGTTGCTTTTCAGTGGGGCAGGATATTATTATGCTGATTTCAAAAGCACCCATTTCTTTATCAGGTCAGCACAAATAAATTAACAGGAATATTCTGGGGACAGTTTCCTACCTGTCCACCTCTTCTTTGCACATCAAAGCAGATGTAAAACATTCTGTTACTCCATTGACAGCAAGAAATAAGACATATAACGAGTAACACCGGAGGAGATCTGGACCTGAAGAACACGTTACAAAGATAAACAGATAAATTCCTTGACCATTACGTAGTTCAGTGATATTTTAAAAAAAGGTATTATTGTTTCTGTGCTAAAAATATTAATTCTTTGGGTCCCATTTGTTGTATGGGGGTTTTCTGTTTTAAACAGCTGAAGTCAGCAATTGTACATCATGGCTTAGTCAAATAATCCTTTAAATGCTGTTTTTCAACAATGTGATATTGTAAGAGGGTAGAGCCCCAAGTTTCATAATACTTCATTAGAGGTCCTCAGCATATTTTAGTTTAAGGGACTACTTATTAAAGACACTCTTACAAAGGCACAAATTCTGGATTTCAATGAGCTTAGTCACAGATTTCAATAGGAATTTTACAGCAAAAAAAATCTGCTGATTTACCAAAAAACTCATAATAGCTGCAGTTTCTCTTTTTAAAGGAATGGCTTTTTTTTGCCAGCTCTATAAATCTTTACCTGTTCCTGAACTGAGCATTGAACCTCCATAAATATCCAGAGCCAGCTGAGAATAGGCATAGCCAAAAACAGTGATGGTAAGGCCAATCAGGAGCACAAGCTTCAACAGCAATTCCAATACATTTGCAGCCATAGCAACATCATCCTGAAAAAAAATGCAGTCACTGACATGAACCAGAATCAATGTCATGGTCATCTTCACACAGAAATGCTGCTTCACAGAAAAAATGAATTAGTTTGCACAGTGTAAAAAGGTGTGAAACTTATCCTTGGTTATTGAATTACCCACACAGATGGTCTTAACTTGGAACGTTTTTTATATATTTGTTATCCCATCATTTTTTCAGTTATAATATCAGGTACACTGGATATAAAATATACACATACATAGACCTCTCTTAGCCCACCAATGACCTGAAGCACAGGACTGAACTGTGTGCTGATGTGCAAGTAGCAGGATTACCACAGGACTGATCAGGAAAATTAGTCTGTGGAGCAAAGCTCTTATTCATTAATACTCCACACACAATTCAGAAGTGCAAGAAAAATACAAATATTTCCTTCCCAAAATCGCACTCTTCAGAAACACTACTTAACAGCTTTTGATATTTTCAAGTATATCAAGAATTTATTTAATAGAAATAGTATGATTTCATGATTTAAATAATGGAAATACACAGTACAGAAGGCTTTACATCAGAGTTTGGAGGAGAGGATGTTCACTTCATTGGCACAAGGTAATACTACATCACTGCATATTTTAATTTCTATTTCATTAGCATTTTACCTATTCTCATCTTTTTTTTGGTCCAGCCTCACTTGACACTTTTGTTCTCCACTTGAACTTTTCAATTTTAACAGCCTCAACACTCAAATTCAAACACACATTTCTGTCACACTTTTGTGATGCAACTTTTCTGTAACAAAAATCAAGCATTTGACATGTAATCAATCCAAAATAAACTTACCTGCTTCTGATCCTTTACAGCCTTCCCTCTTTCCAACACTTTAGCAAAAAAGACATAAAAACTCTCCTCAATAGGCAAAAAGATAAACCTGGCCACCAGTGAACCAAGATTATTCACGATATCATATACACCTTGAAAACAAAAATAGCAGCAATCTTTCATTTTTAGATGCATTTTAATTCCAAGTCTTTAATAACAACGTGAATTCTAATTTAACATCTCCACTAAACAAAGAGAAAATAAATGGACTTTAGTGCAACACTAAAGCAGTGTTTTCTAAAGATTCTGACAGTCACAGCACCACAGCTCAAAATTGCAAGGCTGGCTCATAGATGGCAAAGGAGGACAAAAGCATCAGCTGCAGATGTAAATCTAATAACAGCACCAAACCAGGCTGAAAATTCTTATTCCTTACTGTAGAGGAATTAGGAGGATCCTGATAAATTCACTGAATGAGAACAGGAAGATAAGGATTTATGGATACAGAAGAAGAGAATGGTATGTATCTAGTGAAAGTTATCCCTGTCTACAGCAGGGAGTTTGGAACTAGATGATCTTTAAAGTCCCTTCCAACCCAGGCCATTCTATGTTTCTGTCATCTTAAATCAAATTCTTTTCTCTATCTATATCAATCATTCTCTGAAATGTCACAAAGGCTTTGAAATATTCCCAGGTTTTCAAATTATCTTCAAATACTTTAAGTCACTTTCAGAACCATCTTCAGAGCAGTGACCAAGAAAACTCTGTCACCATTCCACAGCACCATCACACTTACCCTGATCTCCAAAATTTAACACGTTCAAAAAAGTCATCACATATCGTTCACCTGTAAGTTCAAGAACAAAAAACTTGAGAACAAGTCCCTAAATATTTCCCAATACTTGTTCTAGTATTTCCAATAGTAAGTATTTAAGAGACTAAGTCAAATGGAACCTGGTTCAGGTTACCCTAAAAAGCTTCATTCTGGTTGGTAACAATCTCTGACAGTGCCTTGCCTCCCCCCACCCCACCAGGCTTTCTGAAGCTCTAAGTCCACTTTGTAAGGAGTGTTCACGAGCCCTTCCCCACCATGATTACACATAAAGCCTCACCCTCTGTCAAAATCTGTTTCAAGAAGGATTGTTTGAAGAAACTCCAGGTCAAACGTGCTTCCTTCCAGTTGACAAAGGTCTGCAAAAAAAGAACTGAAATGTAATAAACATGACTGAACCTACAGAGTAGAAACAGAAAATACAAAGCCAGTGCAATACTCCAGGCAAGCTCTAACTGGAGTGATGAGGAAACCCACCGTGTCACAGTTTCTAACAATCTCAAATATTATTGAAAATATTGCTAAATTCAAAGACCAACATCACTCTGATCTGGCAAAAACTTATTCCCTTGTTGAAAAGTACTGTTGTTGCAGATAAAGTACTCAAAAAAGCTTTCAACAGAAAATAGTAATTAGAGACCAGAAAAAGCCACATCTATGCTGTTTAGCATGCCAGTATAACTTCCACCTTCACTGCAGGTATAAATTGCTAACTGCTCTTCAAACTGTCCCCATAAGTCTTGCATCCAAGAACCACCTTTATCTTTTCAATTCTGTAAATCTTTTCAAAACGTTGCTTTCCTTGCTGCAGCTTTTCATTCTTTCTTTGCCTCGTTTTTGTCTGAGAGATATCTGAGAGCCTGTAGGATGCTGTGTAGCACCTTGGTTATTTTGTGGAAAGGTCCAAGTACCAAAATCCATGGTAAAATGGTTCTGGCTTTTTTCCTGCCTCGGGTCCAGTGATACCCTGCACAGTGGAGATGTTCTGTCTCCAGTTAACATTTTTCAATATCTTTGCACAAACCAAGTCAGTAACAATGAACTCTTTGCTGTTATGAGCTTATTTTTCTGACAAGGATTCTACTAATACAAACTACAAACAGAACTTTTATGTAATTTTTTTTTTCTTTAACCTGCCATACCTTCTACAGTGCAGAAATAACCCTGAAATCAGTCAATTAACTCCACTGTCTCAAAGTAATTTTCAAAACAAAAGATTTTTAAGGAGGGGAGGGAAATCAAGAAAAACTGTGCAACCTACCTCATCTTCCACAAAGTTAGGTAACAGAGCTTTCACTCTAGCAACTGGAAATGACTTTTTTGTTGCTTCAGGTGATCCCAAAAACATCACAAAATAAGTTACATAGCACATTACCAGAACAGTGGCATATAAAAGCTGGAAAGATTGGGAAGGAGAGACAAAAAACAAAGAGTGATATAAAATTAACTTACAAATGTAGATTTACATGCGAGAATTACATAGTAGTTGCAAATTTAGTGGAAAGAAAATATAAGTAGTTCTTATTCCTGTTGAATATTAAACTAGGTAAAGACTTTAACACCTCTCAAGAATGCTATTGATCTCTCTTTTTTTAAAACTGTAGGTTATCATAGTCCTTTGCTAACTTTCATGTTTTATTTAGCATTTTTAGAATGATTATTTAAAGTCCAATTACAAAGCAATTATTCACTCAATCAAAAATCAAACTGACAAAGTAGCTACTGTCTACATCTCTTACTTTATAGAATCATTTCCATCTTCCATCAGTTATGAGGCACCTACTACAGCCACTGCAAAAAGTGAACAAAATTAAAAATAACCTGCTGTCCACATCTGCAGTGGATCACATTTTTATTTCTAGGTGAACTGACAGTACACAGGCCACAATTCTATTTTACAGGTGCCAATATATCCCTTCTTCACTGTAGTAAAGAAAAACTTTTAACCTGAATACATTGCACACGATTAGCACCTCCTGATAAGGTGATACAGGTTGGTGGTACAGGCTGATAAAGTTGCACATGATTAGTCTTCTACAGGGTAGAATCCAAAGTCTAATAATTCTGAGGCCAGATGGGGAACAGAGTCTTCAGGCATCAGAAGGCGTAACTCATTAAGAAAAAGAGTCCACATAAAGCTTACACAGAATAACATAACTTTATTTGCAAAATGTGCCTTCACAGGAGGAGGAGGTCCTTCCTTGTACCTCTATTAAACTGCTCAAGGCACCAAGTCAATAACAAGTATCAGGAAAATACTAAATACAGGTGCTAAATCCTAAACCTCCCTGGAGCTTTTTCCCCTCAGCTTCATAAAAGTTCTTTAACAGGCTAAATGTCAAAGGCAAATAAAAATTCAGGTGAGTGAAAACACAGAAAACTTACCTGAGCCAAGGCAAAAATGTAAAGGCCCCACTGAGGATAAAGGATTACTAAAGTAACCGTCAAAATGCATTTTGATACCACTGAAAGGCTTTCAGCAATTACCTTCAAGAAAGAGAAAAGGGAGAAGAGTTATTTTCTGCCACGCACACAACTTTAAAATACATTAGTTTAACACATAGAATTTATGTAGGAATGTAAGACTTTTAAAGTCAGTGTGACTTTATCACAGAGCTTCTTCCTGCTGAGCTGGCCAGCTGAAATCGTAATTTTTCTGTAAATTTTCTATTCTTCCATTTCACAACTCCTCCATTGCACTTTCTCAGTCCTTTGTATGGGATAGAAGGGAGAAATCTTTGCCTGAGACTATTCTCGATTGCTACATTCCACAGTTTTATGCCAACAATCAACTGAAATGCAGAGTTGTGGAAGCAGTGTGCCTCTCACAATTAAAACTTGTGATTAAGCATTTAATGATCTCGAATGTGATAATTTCTAAATAAACCAACTTGCTTGCTTGAGTGGTTACAAATCTCTATGTTACAACCATGCCATACAGTACTAAACAGGACACGTGGGGGGGGTTATATGCTTGAATATAAAAAGATCTAGGTCAGTTATATGTTCTTTTCTACAGAAAGAAAATTCCCCCCCCATGCATACACCCCATGTACTTTACTAACCTTGAGTCTCACAAACAAATGAGCTTGTGCTAAAACCCAGCACGGTTCTCCCAGAAGTTCAACAATTGCAGAAAGGCCAAATGCCACCACACCAGCCTGATAATGAGGAACCACAGAAGGATCAGGGACTTCGAGCAAGTGTAGCCAGACTAAGCCCAAGAAAACAGACCAAAAAACACCAAGAGGGACTCTAAAAAGGTAACATAAAAACTAATTAATACAAATGTTACTTCAGCAGGGAAAAAAGACCCGAAGAAAACTAGATCACAATGTTACATATGGCCACAATGATTAAAAAAAAAAAGACCCCAATGAATTAATTTCTGTTATTACTATACCTAGAATGCATTCTTTTTTGTTGTAATGAACATCTTTATGTCACTCTTTACAACATTTTTCTCACTTGTCTATTTTCTACTTAAGAGCCTAACATAAGGTCAAATATCTGCATTCTTGTGCCCTAGGACCAAACAATTCTGACATCCCACATCAGCCTGCAGAACACCACAAATTCTCACTGCTGCAAATTTACAGTCTGTGTTTATCAGGGGTCTGTCAGACAAGCTTTGATGGATCTTGCTCTAACAGATAAAGATGCCACCACTCCAATTGCTAATTTCACTCTTCCAGAAGTCACTGATTCTCCAGAGAGCAACACCAGAGTGAGCATGAGGAAACGCCTGTGTGCCCCTCAGGTGTGCCAACTCACTGTGCTCTGCTGTAGCTCAGAGCCACCTCCATCAGGAGTGCAGCTGAAAAACCAGGCCAGGCACAGGAGAGCAGAAGGGAAAAAAAAAAAAACGAAGAAAACTAGATCACAATGTTACATATGGCCACAATGATTAAAAAAAAAAAGACCCCAATGAATTAATTTCTGTTATTACTATACCTAGAATGCATTCTTTTTTGTTGTAATGAACATCTTTATGTCACTCTTTACAACATTTTTCTCACTTGTCTATTTTCTACTTAAGAGCCTAACATAAGGTCAAATATCTGCATTCTTGTGCCCTAGGACCAAACAATTCTGACATCCCACATCAGCCTGCAGAACACCACAAATTCTCACTGCTGCAAATTTACAGTCTGTGTTTATCAGGGGTCTGTCAGACAAGCTTTGATGGATCTTGCTCTAACAGATAAAGATGCCACCACTCCAATTGCTAATTTCACTCTTCCAGAAGTCACTGATTCTCCAGAGAGCAACACCAGAGTGAGCATGAGGAAACGCCTGTGTGCCCCTCAGGTGTGCCAACTCACTGTGCTCTGCTGTAGCTCAGAGCCACCTCCATCAGGAGTGCAGCTGAAAAACCAGGCCAGGCACAGGAGAGCAGACATGCATTCCCTTCTGCTGACACTGCTTCAGGAACACAAAGCTTCTGGCAGAGTGAACAAAGGTTTACATCACTGGAGCAAGATCTATTTGACCCTCACATTATCAGACCCCCTAAGGTACTTAACACTGAGCTCCTAAGATATATTTCAGATGCTTCATGAAAGCTGCTTTTCATTTGAAGTTATGCTTCTCTACAAAGAAAAATTTAAATAAAAAAAAGATGCATACAGTTAATGTTATTTCTGTCATTTAAAGCCCATTTGAAAGGCTGTCACACAGCAGAAAGTTGAGTATAATACAGCTAAGAGAACAGAATTACTGCATTTTAAATATTAGTATTAAACCTATCCCTGAAGGGCACAATCTCTCTTCTTTATACCTGGATGCAGATGACCATAAATAACTCCTCACTTCTGGGCCGGTTCCAGGACAACTCATTAGGGTGCCCTAATGTACTATTTTATCATGCAAGGGTAGTCTCCCACTGTATCAAGCAAGTAAGTTTACTTCCCAACCCACTTAACTGTGTCTGCACAGCAGCTACAGCTGACAGAGGGAAAGAGTAGAGGAAGAGAGAATGTATCCAGGAGCCAGAAGAGAGAAATAAGTCATAAAATCCATTTTGCTGCAATGTGTGATTACACACTCTGGCTGCAGCATCACGTGGACTTTAAGCTGTTCTGCTATAAACAGCTGAAAGCAGTTGTTCTACTTCCTTCCTGTTTTTTAATTCCAACGACTCTTTCTTTCACCTTTTCACACCCCTCCTACCCAAATATTTATGCTGCCTGCCATTAATCAACATCAGGGCTCAAGAATAAAAACTTGGTCGGGGGAGGGAGGAGATATCTAAAGCAAATTCACAAATGTGCATAAGGTAATATAAGAGCAAGACTGAGCAGGCAGAGGAAGAAAAAAAAAAAAGGACTTTGTATTTGTGCAACAGTGTTTTCCATCAACAGCTACAATGTAAATGAAACTCCAGTTAAGCAACAGAACAAAGGCTCCTGATAACACCTTTGGCAATGGACTTTCCCACATGCTCCAAAAAGAAATCTAGTCCATAAATGCTAAAACAACAGTCTTGACCAGCTTCCTGCATCAGTCCTGAAACACGATTATGGCTTCTAAATGCTCAGTGCTAAAATAATTACCTTAGTAAATAAACACTTCCTCTCATTCTGTGAGCTCTCAGACAAGAATTAGAAACAAATTCTAAAGAAGTAAACTTTTAGAGGTATCTTACGTCAGCCACAAGAGATTAATTGTTTTGGTCCAGTTTCTCTTTGTACTTCCACTCAAACAAGCTCTTCGAAATGCTTCCCTGGCGAGGAAGACAACTGTGGAGTACAGCAGAGTCAGCCTAAGGAAGGTGAGAAGGAAAAAAAAAAAAAGAAAACTATTTCTTTAAACAGGTACACAAACATGGTGATATGAACTAAATCACCACCTCTCCCTAAAAAAAAAAAAAAAAAAAAAAAAAAAGAAAAGAAAAAGAGGTAAAGTAAGTGATTACACATGATTACTCGAATGGCAAGAATGCATGGTACAAACCAGAAATGCAGAGACAAGGTGTATCCTACGGGAACAGCACGTTGTGTCTGGCTTTTCCTTTGCAAGGTGATGGTTTAAACATGGAAAACAGGCCAATGCTACCAGTGTTTCGGGGCAAAACAGAACTGTGGAAGCATTAAATGATCAAACCCAAAAGTAGATTAAACAGCGTTATGCAGAGCATTACAAGCAACACTATACAGACCACGGAGCCGAGATCCAGCACCCACAAGCATCGTCCCAAAGCCCTCCTGGGGGTGCCTCAAGGATGTCCGGGGACCAGCGGGTCGGATGCGGGGCACGGGCCGCCTGCCCGGGGGCTCTTCAGCCTCCTCCTCCTCACCTGACATTGACCACGCCGATGAGCTCCCTGGAGAGGTAGCGCAGCGTGAAGGCGTTCAGCGCGAAGGTGACCACCCGGAACAGCACCTGTGGAAGAAGCCGCACGGGAAACACCTGCGGGGCACGGCCGAGCAGGAGGAGAAGAAGGAGAAGGGTTGAGGCGGCCCCGCACCTGCAGCAGGGCGCTGGACGAGGCCAGCCGGGCGGTCTGACCCAGCACGTCCTGCGCCGCCATCCCCGGCCCCGCCGCAGGAAATGGCGCGGCCGCCGTCGCACCGGATCCCGTCAGAGCGGGGGCACCGCCCCGGCCCGGCAGCACCGCGGGGACACCGCCCCGGCACCGGGACGGGACCGTGGGGCTGAGGGGGCACCGCCCCGGCACCGGGACGGGACCGTGGGGCTGAGGGGGCACCGCCCCGGCACCGCGATGGGGCTGAGGGGGCACCGCCCCGGCACCGCGATGGGGCTGAGGGGGCACCGCCCCGGCACCGCGATAGGGCACCGCCCCGGCACCGCGATGGGGCTGAGGGGGCACCGCCCCGGCACCGCGATGGGGCTGAGGGGGCACCGCCCCGGCACCGCGATGGGGCTGAGGGGGCACCGCCCCGGCACCGCGATGGGGCTGAGGGGGCACCGCCCCGGCACCGCGATGGGGCTGAGGGGGCACCGCCCCGGCACCGCGATGGGGCTGAGGGGACGGGATGAGGCAGGAGGGGAGTGGCCGGTCCGGCGGCGCTCGGGACTAATTGGGAACGGTCCAGGAGCTCCAAGCACCCGCCTGTGCCAAAACTAAGCGCCAGCCAAGCAGGTGTCCCTCCAAAGCAACCCCTAAACTCCACACTGGCTTAGGGGAGGAGATACCCTGGCAAATAGTAATTTCAGATAAGTGCTGTTTGTTTTTTCCAGAGATTTCTGAAAAAAATCTCTGCGCGAGTTCCATCAGTCCCTTTCTAACTTGAGGGCGAACCCTCCAGCCTTCCCTGACTCTAAGGAGAAAGGCAGCTGAAACAGAGGTAAAACACACTTGCTGCAGGACCGAGAAAGGTTCTTATTTCATTCTGTGGAGAAGAAAAAAAAAAAACAAACACCAAAACAAACAAAAAACCCTACACACACACACACAAACAACAACAGTGAAACTGGAAACAAACAAACAAAAACAAACAAAAACCAAAACACAAAAACCAGCACAAAACAACCAAACAAACCCACATGAAACCCACCAAACCCCCAAACAAACAAAAAACCCACCACCCAAACACAAAACCCATTCCCCAAAGCCAACACACCTTCAAATAGCACAATGCAATTTAACCATAACAGATCAAATTTGGTAATATAGTGCCTTGAACCCTTATAACTAGACAAGACTTTAAGACTTCAGGCTCACTGTAAATCTGCACAGTTCCAGACTATTTCAGATTACCATTTAAGCAGCAAAATATAAAAAGAGTGTATCTTTCCATGTTACAGAACATTCCCTTCAAAAGCACGGCGCTTCCAGCTCAGAGGTCACATTTTTCCTAGCAATGCTACAGTTGAGCTAAACTTTTCATGTCTAACAGCAGCTGTTAGAGGAGGGGGCAGGAAGTATCTGAGCCCTACTTGATTCAGCTTCTTAGTGACAGAATATGAACAGCAAAAGTTTAAATCAGGGTCTTAAGAGAAACTAGATAATCAACTAAAATTCTTCAAGTTCATGCAAAGCAGCCATCTCTCCATCAATTGTCTTCTGCATGAAACCCCCTCCTTCTCTGAGCCATTTCATCCACTACTTTTTTCCTTCAATGTTCAGAGTAAAGTTTTCCAGGTTTTTTGTTTTGGTTTCTTTTTTTTTTCCCCTTTGGTCATTTTTCCTAATAACATTATTTAACTAATCTGGAAGTGATGTTTAAATGTAGACATATATGGTATCCTATGATAAAAACAAACAAACAAAAAATGCCACCAAAAAAATAAAAAGGGGTTATTATCCCATTGTAAAGATCAGGATACAGGGACAGAGAGGAGAAACTAATCTGCATTGGGTAATTGCAGAGACAGATTTTGATTCATAAAAGAGTATTGTAGCTAGAGGGGAGGAAACATTGCCATTCCTTTTTCCTTTAAGCAGTTTTCCACTTCTCAAATGGAAAAAGCAATTAAAAATATTGCCCTAACTCAGGCTGTGGAGTTTTCTTAATGACAGTAATGGTGACAGAAGAAATCAAAAGACTTCTAGCATGTTCTGGCTTGTGCAACCTGATCCAATGCTTGAGAACCCTTTCAGTGTAAAATTTTTCCTAATATCCCATCTAAACCTCTCCTGGCACAACTTGAGGCTGTTTCCTCTCATCCTGTCACTTGTTTCTTGGGAGAAGAGACCAACACCCACCTGGCTACAACATCCTTTCAGTAGTTGTAAAGACGAATAAGGTCTGCCCTGAGCCTCCTTTATAATTTTGATCAGTTATAAGCTGCCTACTACACCCTCTCCTCATAAGTCTTGTGCTCCAGACCCTTCACCACCTTCATTGCCCTTCTCTGGACACGCTCCAGCATCTACCAACACTCCAGTAAGAAGGACTCACGTTCTTCTCCATCTGATTATGAACGTTTTCATGACAAAAGTAGGTAATTTCAATGAAACACGAGAAAACAATGTGCTAACTGGAGGCAATCGTCTGACCTTTTCAGGCGTCTGCCATGGGCAGAAGTGACAACTCAGTGATGTTTTGTTGGACAGTTCGGCTTGTCACCTCATAAAGCCGAAACAGAAGCAGCTGCAAAGCCTGGAGGTGGTGGAAAAAGAAGAGAAACAACCGTAACTTGAGCTGGGTTTTATAGGAACCAGCTTTGCCCCTCAGCCCCTCCGGGCACTGACGCGGCTCAGCCGCCAGGTGGCGGCACCGGCCCCTGCAGGGCCTGAGGGGCCGGGCCGGGGCCGCTCCCGCTGCCGCGGCGGCTCCAGGCCCTGCCCCGGGCTGTGTCCGAACGACGGGCAGAGCAGGCCAGCTCGTGATCGGAACGTGGCACAGCACCAGTCCAAATCAGAGCAGGAGCAGTGTTTCACAGAATCATGGAATGCCCTGGGTTGGAAGGGACCTTAAAGATCATCTCGTTCCAACCCTCTGCCACGGGCAGGGACACCTTCCACCCGACCAGGTTGCTCAGAGCCCCACCCAGCCTGGCCTTGACCACTTCCAGGGATGGGGCATCCACAGCTTCTCTGGGCAACCTGTGCCACTGCATCACCACCCTCACAGTAGAGAATATTTTCCCCAATACCTCATCTAAACCTACTCTCTTTCAGTTTAAAGCCATTTCCTCTTTGTCCTGTCACTCCATGCTCTTGTAAAAAGTCCCTCTCCATCTTTCCAAGTTTCCTTCTGTTACTGGAAGGCCACAATTAGGTCACCCTGAAGCCTTCTCTTTTCCAGGCTGAACAACCCCAATTCTCCCAGCCTTTCCTCATAGCAGAGCTGCTCTATCCCTCTAAACAAGTTGGTATCCCTCCTCTGGACTTGCTCCAACAACTCCTTATCCTTCCTGTGCTGGGGGTCCCAGAGCTGGAGGCAGCACAGCAGGTGGGATCTCACCAGAGCAGAGCAGAGGGGGAGAATCCCATCCCTCACCTGCAGCCCACGCTGCTGGTGATGCAGCCCAGGACACAGCTGGCTTTCTGGGCTGTGAGCACACATTGCCAGCTCATATCCAGCCTCTCATCCACCAGCGCCCCCAAATTCTCCTCAAAAAATAAATTGACCTATCAGTTAAATCAATTTTATTCACAACCGTGTGTGAGTATGCTTAACAAGTGAGTCAACAGAAAATGCTTGCTTTTAGTAATATAATTTGAGAATGAGTATAACTTAAAGGAGGACCAAGTTACTGAACTGGCACACAGTGTCACAACAGTTTCATGAGAATATGAAGTCAAAACAATTGCTCTCCAATTCCCACATCAGACAATGCCTACTTAGAGCATTCCTGCATCGTCTCATCACAACATATCTTTTGGTTGTCTTGAGGCAACTGTTTGTGGCAGGATACTCTAAAATAGTTCACTTTCCTTAACACCAAAGAAGGCAAGATTAACTACTGCAAAGATCTTGACTTCCAAAGTTAGGCTGCATCTGGAACTAAACTAGGCTGGATGTTCCTCCAGCAGTCCCCATACAATCCTTGACTTGGGACAATGGGATAAACATGTTATTAGAGGTAAGCAGAACCTCTACATCAGAGAGAACTCCTTCGATCTACTCCAAAGTTTAATGAGTTCAAAAAGGCCAGACAGCTTTATATACAGGCCTTAGAATGAGTTGGGACTGTTCCTTCAGAATTTAAAAAATGAAAAATCTTTGTGTTTCAGTAGCTTCAATCTGTGTTTACACCTGGGGAACTTGGGGTATTTAATTACTCCGTTAATAAGGTATTTCAAGATGAAAAGTGGGCTTTGATTTCAAATCACAGCTTTTATACAGACTGAAAATTTAAAACCTGTTGGAACAATTAGAGAGCTTCCATAGTATCACCTCCCTCAGAGAGGAAATCTTCTTCAGCTAAAACATTATAGCTAATTTCCCTCAGGACAAAATTTCCCAAATTAACAACAAGGTGACACTGGAAAGCAGGAATCTATTGAATCAGCAGTGAGTCCTTGAAAGAAGCCTGGTCAGTTCTAACTTCTTATCTGTCCTAAAACAAAAGTCTCATTGCAGAACCAAATTCAAATCCAGTATAAAGGATTGTCAGCAATTTTTTATATTATTAATCCAAATAAATACTGCAGTTTAGAGTTAGTAATATATTTTAATTTCTTCATTTTTATTTGTGGCTTTCCATTCCCTTAAAGGTCCCATGAGGAATCAAGCTAGAAAATCAACTGTGCTATGAAATCATAGGCAGTTCTCTGCTGCAGCCTGATACCTCCTGGAATAGTGCATGATGTAACACAAAATGACAGACTAGGCTGTGAGCTAAAGACTGTAGATTTCTACAGCTGCTTAAAAAGCTTTTAGCTTTGGAGTCAGGACCAATTTTAGAAACGAGTAAAACAAATACTCAAAACCCCTGGTGCTGCCTGAGCAACCTTCCCCCTCAACAGCACCTTGCCGAGTTTCTTCAGTGCAGAGAGACCAAAATCCCCAACATCCCCAGGGAGCAGCCAAATGCTGCTGCTCATGCCCCCAGCCCTGCTCTATCCCTCTGCAGCTGGGGGGAGAGGCAGTGAAGGCAGCAGGCCCTGAGAGCATGGACTGCATTAACAGATGGATACACACTGCTCTTCCCATCCCTCTGCCCTGCATCAGGATTCTGTCTCATGGCTGGACACGTGGATTCTAGTAAAGCAGAGGAGTGGGTACAGAGCTGGCTCTGCACAGCTCACTTATCACAACACCCCCACCATGCTTTGTAGTGTGATGCTTAACACAACTGCTCTGCCTCTGCTACAAGTCCACACTTTGCCATTTAACTAACAAGGACAAAATACTTTTATTATTATTTTCCCTATTCTGCTCAGAAGTCTTTTGCCAGCACAGGACAAATTACATTAAGTGTGGGTTTAATTTTCTTTGGGTTTTTTTTCCCCAAAAAGAAAGAATAGAAGAGATCTGTCTCTTTGTTCCTGATCATATAAAAGCTTGTTCCTTCACAGAAATAAGTAGGAGGTTTGGGTCAAAGCAGAGAGTCACATGGAGACTTACCAGACTAGGCACTAAATCTCATTAAGATTTCTTCCCTCCTCTGAGGACCCCTCTTGGATCAGAGAAATATCTGGGCTTGGGGATGTAACATTTCCAAATCAGTGCAGAACTGCAGGAAGAAAAAGAAGAGTCACAGGCCATTCACCAGCTAAGGACACATTAGGAGCTACTGCTGTGCCAGATTTTCTTCCCTCCAACCAAAGTGTCCCCAGAGGGATTTTTAGACTAATTCCCCAGGCCCTGTGGACTGAGTTAATCTCCCTGTGCATGTTAAATGGTTAAACAAAAATTTGCATTTTTTTTTCTTGGCTGCCTTATTAGTTCAGCAAGGATTTCATTTATATCCTTTCTTTGGGATGAAAGAATAAAGGGGCTTTTTGAAGTATGCAGAGCAGTGTTTTTTCTGTGATATGCAACATTTGAAAACACAGTGTCCCAGCTTTACAGAGTAGCCCTTGACTTTGTAATGTTCATTTTGCCTCACACATTTTCACAGTGCCTTTAATGCACTGTTTATATGTAATTTGATCAACCAGTTTTTATTACCCTATCAGTTTCACTTTTGGATTCAACTTTTATTTATTGAAATATTTTACGTATTAAGTATATGGAAGACTGACACTTTTTATACAAGTAAAATGTAACAAACCAATGTTCAACTCAAAGGAAAGGCAAAGAAATGTAGCAAATATACAAGTCAGATAGTAAAATATTAAGCACTGGATAGTGCTAAATTTTCAAAAAGCCTGCTAAGTTATTGAACTGCATACTTCACAGTATATTAGGCAGATTTTCAGAAATCTTATGTATTGATTAGAAGAGCAAAACCAAGTGTTTTGCTGTCTGCTTCCAATAAGCTCTACACTTTTCTTGGTCTCTTTTCAATTCAGAAATCTGTAACATTCAATAGACATTCTAAAAATCTACAAAAAACACCTCCTGGTTAGTTAATCTGGGGGATGTAAGAAATTACTTTGTCACAAGAACTGGCAAGCCTCTTGCTTAGAATTCTTGCAAAATTTGTACATTCCTTGAACATGTACATAATCAGTTGTGCACCATCTTTACTGTCCTATGTGTTCTAAATACTAAACATTTCCTTTGTATGTATTTGCATATGTTCAACAAAAGATGATTTCTGTCTTGCCTTTCTTAAGGCTAGAAATTCCAGCCATTTTTGCTACAATCTCTCTCTGTCTTACCTCTCTCTTAACTGGCTTAGGGAGCTTTGTATCAGTCCCTCACTTTGAGCACTGATAGGCAATTTATCTAATTGCTGTGTGCTTTTGAAGCCTATCAATATATAAAATAAGAAAAATATAATGGAACAGCTCCCAATCTTCTTGGAACATTTATCATGTCAGCAGTAATCATTGATAAGAAGTTCTCTGGTGGATTGTTTCTCCTACCTTGTAAAACCTAACTGCCTTCATTTATTGCTCATGTCAGGTCTGACAACTTCAACTATCACTATGATCAGTACTGTTTCTGGAAGGTAGGAGATCCCAAATCCTACCCTATAAACCTGAATTGTAAAGATGGTGGTGAGTAGGTGTACATTTTATCTCCTTCCTATGTATTCTGTAGGATTAACCTCACAGTAACACTTGCTGCTGCAGTTTTGGTGCTAATGCATTACTAGTGAGCAGCCAGCCATGTTTTCTGGACATAAACACCACAGTAAAGTTACAGAAATAAGATTTTGCAGCTGTGAGCACTTGCACTTGAAAACCCTTCACTAACTAGTGCTGGGCATTTTTACACTACAAAATCATTCCATGAGCTCCAGGCTACATCCCTTGAGAAAAAAAATGTACTTTAAAGAGAGGTGCAGAAAGTCTGCTAGCTATACAAACACATATGTTCACCAACACTATTTGCTTTAATAGTCATGTAGAAATAAGGCTCTGTTCATTAAAACGCTTCACAGCTGCCAAGTATTCATGGAGAATAATCCTGTATTTTAGAAATCAACAACAAGTGTTATTAAACTTACTTTGACCTCAGCATGATTTGTTTGTGCATGAAATAACCTTAAGACTTTTGAAATCAACAGTGACAATAACTCAGCGAACACAGTAAAATATGCACAGTGGAAGGACTCGACTGGCAAGTGCTTCTGAAATACACATCAGAGGAACTTGGATTCTGCAAATGCACTGAATGCAAGATATTCCTGAAAAATATTCCAGTTTCTCTTTCCTTTTTTTCGAGTCACCGAGAGACTTACTTTTGGAGTAGATGGTGACGTGCAGGAGTTACTTTACAACCAGGAGGATGTCTGACGTGAAATGGAAGGAGTGCTTTTGCTACCCTAAGTAATTCAGCATCCAGGAGGGAAGGATCACTCAATGCAATGCCTTACAGAGGCTGAGAACACAGCATTTGTGAGTCACCATACACTGCCTTCAAATTACATTCATATGATATTATATAATATTGTGCATGATCACCTGTCTATCAGAGTTAATTATCAGTCAGGGATGTCTTCATGTCACTCATTTCCATCTCACTTGAGAGCTGACTTTCATTCTCTACTGAAATAACCCCTCTCAGCAAGACAGTGATTAGTGTGACAAACTGACAGAATAAAATACCTTCAGCTGCTTTATGGGACCTCCTCTAGCATTCATGACAGCTACAGCTAAGTGGAAAACATTTTTTGGATTCCTCTTATTCCTTAGTGGCAAACAAGGGATCTCTTAAAAAAGACAGTCTCAGCATATGTTTACCTATTCAGTTTCAGAAAATCCCACGTTATCCTTCAACAGTTAAACTTCACTTTCAGTACAAAAACCTGAAATATTAGAAAAAAAACCTCACTGGCAATATGGGAAGCAGAACTTAACACTGTGCACAGCAGAGTTCTCTCAATTAAAAATTAGGGTAAAGGAGAGCTCCCAAAAGGCCTGTTTACCTTTACCTTACCTAAAAATAACTTCTCAATATAGAGAAATAATATTGAGAGCCAAAATTATCTCTGCCTCTAATCCAGATGTCCATATAGTCAAGCTACTGAGCTTCATTGCCTCCATTTCAATCAAAAACATGACTTCATTGCATATCTTTCTCTTCAGATAAAAGCACAGCTATTCTCTTCATGCTCAAGGAGGCCCAAGGTTATAAGAACTCACCTTGAAAGTCCAACTGTTCTCAGTTCATCAGGAATGAGACTCTGCTCCAAGTTTAGCTTCACTGCCATCCTTGCTGGCTCAGTCTGTAGACTTATATGGAACAAACAAACATAGGATGTCTTTAGCTCTAAGGACACCAGCTGTCCTCAAACATCACAGTTACGGTGATAGAAAAACAGCAAAGACAAGTGAGATTAGTCATCACATGAGAGATCTTTCTGCAAGTCTTCAAACACAAGATCTCATGTCATGCTAACAATAGGAAGGGATTTCCCCCACCTTGTCCGTTAAGGAAATGTAAAGTAAAACTCTTGCTTCTTTACTTAACAAGCTGCTCTAAAAGACCTTTTTTTTTTCCAGCTTTGCCAATCATTCTAAGTTTGTGTGCTAAGCAGTCAAGTAGAAAAAAAATATTTCCCTTTGTTCAGCCAAGTTGTAACTGTATTACAACTGAACCGTGATGTGTCAACAGTTTGTCTGAACTTGAAAGAAAGAGAAATTAATACATCCACTCTCATTACTGAAATTTGGTTGAGAAGGTGATTGAGGTTGTTTTTTTTTAAGCAACAGGTATATTAGCCTAAATTCACAATTGGAATAAAGCCCCCAAAGATAAGAGCAGCAAACTGTTGCCTCAACTGGACTATTCACTTTTGCTTCCTCTCTCCCTCTGAAGGTTTGTGTTTTAGTTGCAGAGGGTAAAAATTTGCCTATCACAATAGAAGATATTGTCATCCATTAATGCATTCCTGACCTTGCCTAAATCCTGGTGAAAAGATTGCTGGTAGTGCTGTGAAGACACCTGGGCATAAATTATTAGGCAACTTACACATAAATAGTAAAGGCAGAGCTTTAACATGAATAAGAAGGCACTCAAGACACATTCAGTGGGCTCTATTTCCTTCCCTCATAATTGCATGAGGGCTGAATGGGCACCTTGATGCTCATATTTCTATATTCACTATACTTTCCATGTTCCTAAGAATTTATGCTGTGGAAAGAGTTCTATTTCCTACCAGATATTACATTGTACCAGAAAATCTGCATCCCTGCACCAAGAGTCATGGTGTGACTTCTTGCCCTGTGGAACAGAGGTTGGAAACAAACACAGTAAACTCTATAGCCCATAAGAGAACAGAAGTAACTGAAATGAAAAAAAAACCCAAAACAATAATAGTAAAAAAGGTAGGCCTTCCCAGGTTTATAGGAGTTCAAAATTCTTGACAAAAATTATTGTCCTTACCAAAGGGGAGAAACGGAATGAGCAGCTGACAGAACTGCTCATGCCAGATCCAAGGAGCTGGGTGTCCCTCTCACAAATGCTGGTGTCCACACAGAGCAGTGCACATGCCTGGCAAGGAAAGCCACACCTGGCTCTTGTATTCTCTCTTGCATCTATGACCACTGCTCCCATTAAAGAGAAACACCATTAAATGGAAGAAGTTTCATTTTCCTGACTTCACAAGCATTCCATTAGAAAGCTAAAGGCACAGCACACAACTCCTACCAATCTGGAGCCTTAACTTGTCACCTTTACTCACCTTTCTGCAGCTTGCAGGCCGTGGTTCACACCACAGTTCTTTCACCAGAAGATTTCAGAAGCCCTGTGTACTTCACCATGTGTTTTTAGACCTCCATGTCTGTCCTACCTAAACATAAACTTAAAATTCTTTTCTTAGAAACCAGTAATATCAGAGTCTCACTGTAAGAGAAGTCACAGGAGTTGTTTCAGGTTTTCATGTATGGGAGAATACTCCCACTCACATCCTGAAGAATGTGGGGAGGTTCAAACAAAAGGATCTGACCACATGTCTGAGACTAAAACCAGCAATGCATATCTTCTTCTGCCCACACCCTACTCCTAAAACTCAATCTGTTACAAAACAAGTTCCTTTCCATCTGCATGCAAAGCTCACTATTTTATCTTATCAGTCTCACTAAAAGTCCAATAGAAAGAGCCAGCAATTGCTAATGGCAAAGAGTTAGTACCAAATTTGAAATTCTTTCAGTCAGACACACAGAGAACACTGTAACAGTCCTATAGAAACATCTAGGAACACATGTCCCTTCTGACCATTCCTCTGACACTGTATCCTCAGACTTTGACTTTAATCACTTCATCCTTTCTCAGATACTAAAACTGTAGTGGGCTTTGTTCTGTAAAACTGTTGATAATGTTTTCAGATCTATATACAGGGTTACTGTGGCCTGGGAAAGTGCTAGTCAGGAAATTATGTAAGAAATTAGGTTTATTTTGTTACTACAATTCTGGCAGTTTTCCAGATCTTTATGTCACTAATTGCATGCGATTATCAAGAAAGAAAACAGAGATCTTCTTATCGTGACTGTAATTAATTCCATTATTCAGGTACAGAATACATATTCTGCAACAATATAGGCCCAAAACTTGAGGTACTCTGGCAATCTCTAATGACATAAAGCAAACAATCCTTTTCTTCGTGTAATTCCAGATTTTTCACTAATCTTGTTTAAAACTGCTCCTTTCCTTGCATGTTGATTTTTTCCAAACATGCTTTTATTCAAAACAACACTTATATTAGCAGGATGGAACTTGTTGAGTCCAACTTAAAAAAAATATCATATTTTTGTATCACCCACCCCTCACCTCCACTACCCAAGAAGAACTGTCTGCTTATAAAAGACCATCACCAGTTGTGACTGCCAGTTGTATAATTGCTTCTCTTTATGGGTAGAACTGTTTGCTTTCAAGTACCATTTTCCCATTTCTTCCCTAATATGACACCGTAAATTTTTTTCTTTACCAAAAGAAGTGAAGTGGTTTGGGGTGTTACAGGCCACTAAAACTGAAATCTGTGCTGGTGGAATTGCTTCTGAATACTTCTGTAATAAGTCATTGTAAATTTGACAATGGAAAGCACTGCCAAAGTGGTGACAGCTGTTCAAAACCTCAGATTTTGTTCTAAGCATATTACTAAAATCACAGGCTGTTTCCTGCTTTTTGTGTAGATAAAAAGCACACGAATATTTGTGGGGAGCAGGGGAAATAAAACTCATTCACTTCACTTGCTTTTGCACAATCTAGACTTACATTCAGTCACTTTTCACTTCTGAGACCAAATCTTGCACCACAAAAGAGAATTAAGTCATTCATTTAAAGGTAATTCCATTTGACTACTTCAATAATGCAGGAGCACACGAAGAAATTGCAGCTGGGTATGCAGTGTAAGAGATAAATGCTCAAAATTCAGCTGAGAAACCAGTAAATCTCTGCTTTGCTACTACAACTACTACTACCACTGCTTTTGTTCTACCAATGCTACCAAAGAACCAAGCATAGCTGTGTAAAAAACAAGCTCTGGGCTAATACTGGGGCTACTCATGCCTGGCTACTCTTCCAGTGCCAAAGGAATGTGGTCTTTGCTACTGTGCTTTTTGCTTCAAAACTGGAGATACTTCTCAATATGCAGTAAAACATAAAGAATGAAGCGTTTTCAAAAGTGGCTGTGGGGAATGGACAACACAAGAACACTCAATACTTCACTATATTGCAGAAGGAGAAGGAAAGGTCTTAAAAACAAATAAGACTTGTTGCATCAATAATTTTAAAAAGAATTACGATTCTATATTTAGAAAAGAAGTCAGACACTGGATTTCACAACCATATGTGGAAAACATTAAAGGGAAAACTGGATGGGATTGCCACGGCAGAACAGGGCCAAGAATTGCCTTTTTTTTTTTTTTTAACTCACCCCAAAACACTGGTGGGGGGTGGGGAAGTTCCACACAACTCTCCTCTGCAACTAGTGCTAAAGTAAATTTGACTAGCAATATGCAAAAACTGGCAGTGCTGGACTGCTACAGACTGAATTATGCTGACAGCACCAGAACCACTTGGGCAATTTTGGGACAGTTTCTGCTGTTACTGCCCATTTTTGGCTGGTTTGTGAATAAATAGGAAATTTCAGTCTTCTTATTCCAATGCAATTTGTAAGACGAATAGTAGCTGGAAGAGCAAGACTTCCCTTGGGAGTGCACAAGAGGATTTCCAAGTCAATAAGCAGTGCACATTAGCCAGTATTTTACTGCAAGCTGCAGAAAATTTGTGAGTATATTGTCAACATAGATAAAAATGAATAGCCTGAACATGCAACGTTAGTGCTTTTTCTGAATGTGTGTACCAACAATAGCAAAAAGGGTCTTGCTCATAGCCCTCAAAAATATTACTTCATTATTAGTTTCTAACTTTTTGAGAAAAAAATTAACACCCAGTGAAAATCTGTACAACTTAAAAAGCCAAACATTCTTTCTTTGAGTCCATCCAGTTCTGCCAAAAGGCATATGGTCGTGTTGGCACTTACTCTATTCAATGCTTCACACATCCAGAGCATCGTTTCAATATTGATTAATTGTCAGAATGCTCATATGAGACAAGCAAATAGAAATCTGACAGCCAGATCCTACAAACAGCACTGCAGTCAAACGGATCATTATATTATTATCACTGCTTTTCCCTAGTAATTCCAGTCTGAATAGTATAACTTCTGTTGCATATTCTCAATAAGCATTACAATACAGTACATACCTACAGAACCAACTCCAGAAGTAAAGGAATCATGGGGCTGGGAGGGAAAGGAGCAAACAATTCCTTTGTAAGAGTAAGAAACATCTTGGGAATTTTATTTGTAAACTATGCCATGCAATTCCTAAACTTCCTTTTCATCCCAATGTTTCCCAAATACTTTGTCCATCACAAGATTGTATTTGCCTCTGGGGAAAACACAGTATTTCCACTGTTCAAGCAGTACAACTTGGCAGGAGAGAAGAGGAAAAAGCACATCTAACTACTTGAACCTGAAAGTTGTGTTTACAGATTGAAATAATTCAGAGATCCTGAGAGCAAATGTCCTCTTCTTAAAAAAATAAAAATCACATAGAGGTTTTAAGAGCCGCAGCTTGTCTGCTGTCTTCCTTTTTGTCACCAACGGATCATGCTGGCTCCTTAAAAGGATGTCTGTGTGATACTTCCCTTCTCCAAGACAAAATATGAGAGGGGTCAAATGACTCATTATGGATCAAGACCTCACAGGACCTGCTAAAGCTGCATCCCCAAGCAAAGAGTGAGCACATGTAGAACTCCTCACAATACTCCCATGGGAAGGTCCATCCTGAAGAAACTGAGTGAATAAATTGGGGAACAGACTGAAACCTGCCACCCTGGGAATCAGATTGAAAAGGCTCAGACTCTGAAAGGACAAAATACATGGGTTTATTTTACTAGTTTGCCTTCTCAGCAAAACAGCATTCACAGCTTGTCCAGAAATAAAAGCAGTTCTGGCACCAAGTCCTACTCCCACTCCCTGGAATGAGGGATCTGTGCTCATACACTGTTGAAAAATGGGGAGCAAACCTGCACATGTCCAAACCCCAGCAAGATTTCACAAGAAGTATCTTGATATTCTCCTCAAAATCAGCCAGGATGGTCACATTTCAGAAATGACAGCTGTCTCTCTCACTGATTTTTAGACTAACTACCCATGCAGTGACTCTTTAGCTCTTTTCTGTCACATTACAAAACTCTAAGTATTACATATCCTGTGTACGCCTGCACAGAGAAGAGTACCTCCCATTTACTTAAAACACATCAATACAGGATGTACTCCAAATGAGTCCTTACATCACCTTCTGAAGGCACTGGCTTTAAGAGATTACACATATACTCCTACACTGACATAAATGTAGCATTTATCTGGGTACTCACTTTAATTCTAGACTCTTTTGCTTGCCAGCTGTTATCCCAAGAGACAGATAATATAAATAATTAACAGGCAGTACATTCTTCCAGCTGCTAATGCTGTAAACTAATTTCTCAGAAGTTATCCCAAAATTAGATTTAATACTGATTACTAAGCACTTAATAATAATGCGTGGCAAAAGACAGACAACTGTAACAGAACAATCAGTGTCCAGGAAATGCTGATTTTTATCTGACTGGCTTTCTGCCTCTATTTTCATAAAGCATTTTTTGCATGCAGACAGTAGTTTTCTGGCCCTTCTTCCTGCACTTCAGTCACATCTCTGTTAATAGTGATGTGTCTTCATTAGCAACGGGGCATCAGTAGCTACTGTCACAACCAAGTGACATTAAGGTGTGCACTGCTGCTCAGGAACAGAGGTTTCCCTCTTACAGCAAACCAGGCAGGCTGACTGTTCTATCCAAAATCTGTTCACACAGCTGGGCTGACCAAAGAGACAGTCATCAGTACCCTCAGCCCCGTTCCATGTACGTGGCATTTTTGTGAGTTAGGGGTGGAATCAACCAGGATTTGTTTTTTTACACTCAATTGTCAGAACAGGTGGACCCTTCCCTGAGGCTTTCTCAGCCCTGGGAGCCACAGGAACATCTCCTGTCACTGGTCATGATGGAAGAGAAGTTATTTTAGCCCTTGCAAGAGCCAAGCATTTCATGTAGGCTTCTGAGCAGGTATTGATACCAGTGATGTTGCTGGTACAGACACAAACTTGGCCATGCCTGGAAAAACAAGCCTTCCACAAATGTTTCAGACATCAGGCACTCTGCAAGGATCTGCCTCTCATCATCACTTGCAGTAAATCCAAGTTAATGAAGACTCACTATTTAGCAAAGAGATCAGTTCACAATTAAAACTACACTTGTAAAATGGGAGTTGAAAATTAGCATTTGCTTAGAGGTTTTTAAGCTAGAGTACCCAGAAGCTGTAATATAAATGGACTAGAGAATGTTCTAGTAACTTATATAATTAACAAAGACACAAAGTTCTTAAAAAACACAAAACTGCAGCCCCATGTACTGTCTCCAACTTTGTCCAAACACCCTAATAATCACATCCACCCTAGTACAGTTCTGGACTTCAATTTTAAAAGCATTAAACTGATTCTAATCTAGTGACATACTCTGTTGACTTTGTTGAGAGCATAATTAGGCTACTGCTACTTGAAATCTTCACCAAAAAGTCTCCAAGTTTGTTTTAATGTCACTGTTGATACACTGACAAAGCCAAAAATATCCATTATTCTGTAAGAGCTAAGTGTTATGGATAGAGAAAACCTTAAGAGCTGAAGGGATGCAGTACTTGGATGTAATTCCTGGAAAAGCTTCAGGAAGCTCTTTCATTAACAGCATTAAATCAGCAGGTATCATAATTATTCGAGTTACACGGTTATTAAGCTGATTTTTCAGTACCTACAGAAGCTTCAAATGTCTTTAGTAAAACTGAACTACCAATTCTGACTATCACAAGGTTACTGGATTACATTTTTCTTACACAGGAACAAGTGCATTGTGTTCTGAGCACCTGTGCTATTGCAATTAAACCAACCCAGAGACTGCACTGACCTCTACTGAAGTTCAGCTCTGCAGGACAGTATTTAAAAGTACTGTTCTGGGGCAAATGCTTAAAGATGAGGTAACTCCTGTCTGAACTTAACATATTATATGATAGCCAAGTCAGCAGAGTGAAAGTGTTAGTAGGTAACAGACTCACTTTGCTCTTGAATGACCTCTCACTCCTAGCTGG